GGAAAATTCAGAATTCATATTTGTGTCAACATTTTCAAAAACATCCTTTGTGCTTGCATCATCCTTTCTGCAAATGGTTTCAAATGCAGCATCTTGCATCCTACAACCACTGAGGAGCACAGCTCTCTTGTGAAAAACTTGCGCTGGTACCAGGCAGATTTGACATCTATTTAAGAAGTCTTGTGCTACTTTTCTATCTTGTATCACTATTCTGGTTTTCTTATAACTTCTCTCTAGTTATCTGGATTGGGTGGTTGTCTATGCTGTATTCTCACATCACATCTGTAAAACAACGTGTGTCTGTCACATCTACAGCCCCCATCTAAGGGCCCACAGCCAATGCTCTACTGAAATTTCCTGTGAAAGGACTTAAGTTTCTTGAGAGCCAGTTTCTCAGAGAAAATGAGAAGGGTAACCCCAGAATTTGCAACAATACATCCTGCCTGTAATTTCAGGTAAGTACATTTCACCTAAAATAGAAGTACTGAAGGAATACACAGACAGAGAAGAGGTTAGGATTTAGTTGTTACTACCTGCTGATACAGCTATTTTTTTGCACTTATTCAAGATGACCTGTAATACTGCTGTGAAGCATGTTGGAAGTATACATTACAAAATATTTGCAGATGACACTAAGCTGGGGGGGAGTGTCCATCAGCTGGAAGGCAGGAGGGCTCTGCAGAGGGACCTGGACAGGCTGGAGAGTTGGGCTGATTCCAACGAGATGAGGTTCAACAAGGCCAAGCACTGGGTCCTGCACTTCAGCCACAACAACGCCCTGCAGCACTACAAGCTGGGGACAGAGTGGCTGGAGAGCAGCCAGGCAGAAAGGGACCTGGGAGTTTGGACTGACAGGAAGCTGAACATGAGCCAGCAGTGTGCCCAGGTGGCCAAGAAGGCCAATGGCACCCTGGCCCATATCAGGAACAGTGTGGCCAACAGGTCCAGGGAAGTGATTCTTCCCCTGTACTCAGCACTGGTGAGGCCACACCTGGAGTACTGTGTCCAGTTCTGGGCCCCTCAGTTCAGGAAGGATATTGAGGTGCTGGAGCAGGTCCAGAGAAGAGCATCTAGGCTGGTGAAGGGACTCAAGCACAAGTCCTGTGAGGAGAGGCTGAGGGAGCTGGGGCTGTTCAGCCTGGAGAAGAGGAGGCTCAGGGGAGACCTCATCACTCTCTACAACTCCCTGAAAGGAGGTTGTAGCCAGGTGGAGGTTGGTCTCTTTTCCCAGGCAACTAGCAGCAAGACAAGAGGGCATGGTCTCAAGTTGTGCCAGGGGAGGTTTAGGTTAGATATTAGAAAGAATTTCTTTACAGAGGGGGTGGTCAAACATTGGAATGGGCTGCCCAGGGAAGTAGTTCTCCGTCCCTGGACATTTTTAAAAAGAGACTGGATGTGGCACTTAGTGCCATGGCCTAGTAACCGCAGCGGTAGTGGATCAAGGGTTGGATTTGATGATCTCAGAGGTCCTTTCCAACCCACCTGATTCTACGATTCTATGATTCTATGATTCTAAGTGAGGTATTCAAATTATGGAAAAAAAATTGTTCATTTTTGTTTCTTAATGGAACGTGTATAACAAATATACTAGATTTCCTAACTATAGGACAGTGGTCACTTACAGCAGTGTAATTTATTATATACAATGCTCTGCCAGCATACCTGTCTTGACACAGGCATTAAAGAACAGAAAGCACAAACAAACCTCATGTCTGAGTCTTCAATGCCATCTTAAGAACCAGACAATTTTCCATACAGTTTGTTATTTCTGCCATATTGCAGACTCAGAAAGACATCAACAAGCAACTTTTCATTATGTTCTGAACCCCCATCAGATGGTCATATTAATTCAGGACCAACATCATGCCCATTAGCACAACCCATTCATTCACAACAGCCACACCCACCATCAGCAAGAGACTCTGGGACAGACCTTGGGTGATTCAATCCCCTAAGAAGATTTCCCTTTGGTTTATATAAGGACATTGCATTTCCCTTTCCAAATCCTAAGGAAAACTCTATTTTCTCCTTTAGTCTACATCTGTCAAAAGGCTGGTATTTCAGTGTTTCACACTCAAAGGAGTGTCGTGAGTTTAAACCTTTTCAGAATTAATTGCATTCCTCATGTCCATCAGAAGAGATTTCTTGAAGAAATAATTTAGGCCAATAAACTGATATTCTGCTTTAATTCTGTTTGAACAGAACCGGCAAGAAAGGAGGTGAGACTCAGGGTTATTTTCTGTCATGTGTAATAGAAAGAAAGACAATTCATGGGACAAAGGATCCAAATTGGTGCAAATCAAGCTTCTTTCAGCTTGCACACAAGGGCATCAACAGTACTGTACAAGAACACTAATACTACGCTAGCCTAGAACACTAATATATATATTATATATATTTTTTATATATAGAACACCAATACTGAGCCAGCTTTCCTCTTTAACACTTGTGAGGCATTGTTATTGAGAATCAAAAATAAAAGAATGATAAAAATACAGAATAAGCCAGAGAGCAAACACACTGTAGGAAAATGCTATTCCTCTTCCACATCTAGAGCACCCCTAGTCCTGCAAGCCCAGGATACATGACACTTAAAAGACGTGGGAGACAGAAAGCTGTGGGAAGGCAAGTCATAAGGCTATTCCTTGTACTTGCCAAAGAAAATGTCACCACATCTACTGTTTGCCACAAAGAGCTGAGGATGAGGGTCAAATGTCAGCATGGGGGGTAGAAACTGGCAGCCAAGAAAGAAGAGGTGGGCAGATGCCTGTGGGGTCTGCCATGAGAAAAAAAAAGCATCTTACAAACCTGTTCACTACAAGTCCCACATTCATAACTGTTTCCAAATGGAAGGCTGTGAAAAGCCAAAGCAAACATTCTCAATTCTTTTTGAACCCATCACACAATATAGGAAAAATATGTGCATTTTATGGTTTGAGGGCACAACCTTTTAATTATGTGTTTGCATTGTCATGTCCAAGACCTTTTTTCTCCCCAAAAATTAATATTTCCTCAAGCAATGCAGCTATTTATCTTGGATGAACATGAATTGAAACAGAATCTGCCTCTGCAGAGAGAGGGACAGAAGAGTTAGAACATGACACCTAGGGGAATTCAGAACACACTGCAACACAATCCTCATCATTTTTCCAGTGCCTTTTCAACTCAATTTCCTCCAGTTCTCTTAAGAGTTTCCAGCTATTGTTTTGCATATGCTGTATGTGCACGACCACAGAGGCACTTTGAAAACAGAGTTATAAGTGCAGGTAATGCGGCAGGTAGGGAGAAACTGAAGCAAATAAAATGCAGGAATTTTCTCTGTACTAGAACTGAATGAAAAGCAGTTCTGTCATCCAAGACCAGCAAGTGTTCTGGCACATAATCACCTCTCACTTCTCTGTGATAAAGCTCAGCCTCACGATCTAAGGAAGATGTCAATCAACTGCTTTTGCCACTAACAACTTATAGGTGCAGAAAGACTGCAAAGTAATGGTTTACAAATGATATTTAAATTAAAATATATTGAGCCATTGCAAGAAAATTCAGGCCTACTTTGGAAAAGACATTACATTTAGTCATAATTGGGGCTCTCAAAAAACTTACATCTAGTGTTCAAGCATCAGCTTTCCCCCCCTTCAAGTCTTAAAGACTTGAAGGCCAACAATTGGCCAATAATTCATACAGTAACTTCCAAAAGATGCATAACACCAAGGACAGAAGTAGAAATACCAGAGTCCATTTTTACTTAAAGGATAAGTAAGTGCTAAAGCACCAAGAAGATACTGAAGGAGGACTGTTTCCATAACCAATCTAATTATTATTTCACAATAGAGAAGTTTTTATGAACATACAACACCTTTCAAGATAGAATGTAAAATAAAAAAAAGAACCACACAACCAAAAAAAACAAAAAAACAAACAAACAAACAAACAAAAAAAACTTCCTAAGCAATTTACACAACCTACCACTAACATGGATGCAACTTGGCGTGAGTGCCAATAAACAGCTACTTAATCAAACACTGTGCAACAGTGTACTAGGAGGGAAAATCCAGGTTTAGTCACTCCGTGTGAATTCTGACATTTCCAAAGATTTTAATGAGATCCTTTTGGGCAAAGCCAGGTGGGTAGCCAAGTCTGGGTTTAGTCATGGGTGAAATTTCCACACACACTAATACTCACAGGCCTTGAATGTCCTGCCGTGGAAGAACGAAAACTTCCCCCTTGTGACCTCAACTTCACTTCTCTGTTGACTAAGCTGAGTTGCAGCTGTGCCTTACAACTCACCATCCCCAGGTGTTGCAATCAAGGAGAGCAAAGAATATCCTCTCTAAGTATAAGAGTAGTATGTGCAAATACTTTAGCTTCCAGAAGTTTGCCTGGAAAGTATTGTAGTGCAGACTCAAGATGCTCTGTTATAAGAGGAGGGGACCAGGAAACAGAAATATTAAATGTGTTCCAAATGAATTTCAAAATTTTGAAATCTATGAGGCATAACTTGACCAGAGAGACCTGTGAAGCTTTCCATTGGATCACTTGCCTATACTACTGGAAGTCCTTCACTTACTCCATCCAGAAACCCATATTCAACCCCAGCATTAATAGGTACATTGTACAAGGCCCTCATACCTCATGGAAGTCAATTCACAAGGCAAGCAGAGTGATCTACTATTGTTTCCTAATCCAGAAGAAACATCCTTTTTCTTGTTTGTAAACCACTGATGGCATTATCATTTCTGTAACCTCAAAAAAATTAAAAATAGGAGAAAGAATTTCTCAGTCAAAGTGTTATTTTCAAACTTACACTTCACAGGTAAAAGTTCAAAAAACCCCCAAAACAAAACAAAAAAACTTTTTCAGGCAAGCTTGAAACAGACAGGCCAATAATTTATTTCTCTCTGGTTCAATGTGCATGGGACAGTGGTGGTTTATTTAGCTGCAGCAGCAAATACTCAACTCAACCTTGGCTACAAAAATACCTGAAAACTCAACATACTTACCATTATCACAGTGATGGAGATGGTAAGTCTTGACACTCCACTGAAAAAGGAGGCAGCTCCAATGGCAGTAAAGAAATCTGGATCAATCCACACTCCATGTTCATTGGTTTGAACACCAAAAATGGAAACAAGGATCAATCCCATTATCCTGCCATACAAAGCTCCTGTATACCTGTACATATGAAGAAGAGCAATCCTCTTGGCAGTTTCCTAGAAATGCTTCTAGTATTCTGCTGATTCCAGGTTAATTTTGTCAACTCCTGCAGAGACTCCGTCCCCACAACCTTCCTTAGTATGGGCATTCACTTAGCACCAATCAGCTATCACAAAGCTGCCAGATTTACCATACTTTGAAGGAAAAAAGACTAATGGTATGTCTGTCTTAATGTCCTTCAAAGCCAAATAAGGATTGACCTTATAGCAATAGTCAAAACTATAGGTCACTGATATACACACTGGGCTATTTCAGTTTGTAAGGCCACACTTCTGGAGCTCCAGCCTCATATAATTTCTTAAAATTAAGTCTATCTGCACTCCATAAACCTGGTAAGTAAAATATTACAGCCATGTAACAAATGGGCAAAAAGAAGTAATAGGTATTAATGATCTGCCCAAAACTAATCAGGAATGAAGCTGTGAAGAGAACTCAGGAGTCCTCAAACCAACCAACACCGCAGAGCTAAACCAAAATGTAGCACAGTTGAGCAGGTAATTGCTGATGTAATACACAAAATTTCATTCTATATGCAAGGAATTAAATATACATATTCAAGTGTCAGACAACAAACCAGACTTGTACATTCACTTTCCAGAAATGGTGAATTACTATTATTTATACAATAGCCATATACATGATATATATTATCTGATTTTTTTTTTTTTTGATTGTGCATGGGGGAATTACCTCAAACGGTAGAGTGCTCGCTTAGCATGCAAAAGGTAGCGGGATCTATGCCCGCATTCTCCAGTGTCATGTTTTGATGTATGTACTGGGGAATGAGAGGCTGGAAAGCAGTGCCATGGAAAGGGACCTGGGGATCCTGGTTAATGGCAAGTTGAATATGAGTCAGCAGCCAGGAGGGCCAACCATGTCTCGGGGGGGCATCAGGCAAAGCGTCGCCAGCCGGTCAAGGGAGGGGATTGTCCTGCTCTGCTCTGCACTGGTGAGGCCTCACCTTGAATATTGTGTGCAGTTTTGGGCACCACAAGATAAGAAAGATATTAAGCCATTAGAGTGTATCTGAAGGAGGGCAACAAAGATGATGAAGGGCCTTGAGGGGAAGCTTTATGAGGAGCAGCTCAGGTCACTTGGTCTGTTCAGCCTGGAGAAGAGAAGACTGAGGGGAGACCTCATTGCAGTTACAACTTCCTTGTGAGGGGAAGAGGAGGGGAAGGCACTGATCTTTTCTCTGTGGTGACCAGTGACAGGACCTGAGGGAATGGCCTGAAGCTGTGTCCGGGGAGTTTTAGGTCAGATAGTAGAAAAGGGCTTTCAGCCAGCAGGTGGTTGGACCCTGGAACAGGCTCACTAGGAAAGTGGTCATGGCACCAAACTTGTCAGAGTTCAAGAAGCATTTGGACAATGCTCTCAGGCACATGGTGTGATTGTTGGTGTGATGCAGGGCCAGGAGGTGGACTTTGATGATCTTAGTGGATCCCTTTCAGTTCAGGATATCCTGTGACTCTATGATTTGAGGAGGATCGTCTTGCACCATTACACAACTTTTTCCAATTTATTCATACAATAGACCTATTTGATTGATGGATGCAGTTCTGGAATTGTTTTTAAAACTATATACAGTTCTACAATGGTTACAAAAATTAGGTTATCAGTTAAGAAACATGGGTGCTGGCAGATAGACTTGACCATATCTATTCAGCCAAGAATCCAATGTTTCAACAAACACTATATATTAAAAATTGACTTAGACAACATTTTGGGGATGGCAGGAAGTGAATACACAGGGATAGGGCAATGGCAGAAAGCTGTGCACACAACTAATTATTTTTAGACTTTTTTTCAGTATTTTAATTGCATTATGCACTCTTCAGCCATGACTCCTTGCTTGCTGAACATTAAGCCTCTCAGCATTACTGTAAGAACCTTGCTCTACTCTACAACAGCTTTCTAAAAACTACAACAAAAGACCCAACTGTAGTTTTCTCCATAGTCTAGGGTGTTGATTTTCAAGATTAAGGTTCAGGCTATTACGTGCATAAGAAACAGATGAAGAGTCTGGATCTGAACCCGTATTTTTACAGTTACAGAGATGGAGCCAGAAACTGAGGCTCCTTCTGGGTCCCCAAAGGATTCAAATGCTCTATACTTGGAAAGTCCACAGTTCTGGCTATGGTCCTTGCACAGCTATTCTCAGACTATTTCTTCATTCTTTTCCACAATTTTAGCATCTCTTTCCAAGCAAACCATCCTATTCTAGCTATACAGCCTCCTCCAAGCACTCATAGCTTTGCTATTGCCAAGCTTTCAACCTGCAATTCAGACTGTTACTACTCAACACAGGCCTTTTGTAGAGGAAACACAAACCAGGATGGGTGGAGCTTACAGCATAGGAATAATCAGGCCACTGGCAACTGCAGAACCTGCCATTCAACAGCTAAGGATGAAATAAAATGCCAAGGCAGTGCACAGGGATATGTATCCAAATTTTTCACAAGTCCCATGTTCAAAAAGATATGTGATCCCTTACTTCCCATTTTCAACTGGAAGTGCAGCAGCTGCAACACAGACAAAGACATGTGCAGAGATACAAAATATTAAAAGGTTCCTTTACAAAAATGCAATTTGTAGTAGTTCTCATTTGCCTAAACTTTATTTAAAAAGCAGAGTTTTCATTACAGCTTCAGCATTTGAGGCACTTCCAGGAAAATAAGGAATATATGTTCTCTCCAGTCTGGTTCTCTGTGATGTTAATCCTGATCTAAATAAAGAGAAACTACAGCCATTTAAGCCAAAGAAAAGCAACAGTACTACTTCAGCAGGGCTCTTTCCCCATTCCTTTCAGAGGCAGTAAGTCAGGATCTTCCCAGCACATTTGGCTCAAATATGGAACTTAGTTCTGATATGTCAGAAGGGAGCACTGCATTACTTTAAAGAAAACCTGTGTTATGAGCAAATATACCCTGATATCGCCTCAAGTTATTTCACTTTCTTCCCAGGTATCAATCACATAGCTCCCCTTACCTTGACTGAAGGTTTGATTAGAATATCTGACTTCATCTGGACCAATCCATGTGCTTGAGGAACAGCTATATTCTGAAATTTCCCTCTTGAGCTGATTTATGCTTAAATATTAAAAACAAACAAAAGAATTATTATGGATGAATATAACTTACCTTACTGCCTGTCCAGAATGTATCTGCTAGAAATACATCTTACACAAGAAGCCACCTTTCCCTTATATTTCCCAATTAAGTTGTTTTGTTAACTAATAAATCTAGTTTACTAGATCAGTTTATTAATTATTCTACTAATCTATCTGGTTTATTACATAAACTTCCTCATGCCAAAACTCAAAATTCCCCAAAAAAGGAATCACTTTACGCTGCCTAAACCCAGAAAACAGGGGAAAAAAATTATTAAAATGCACAACCTGGCCTTGATCTCTTTGTCCACACAACATTGTAACTCTATAAAACAGGATTATCCGACCAAAAATGAAGCATTGCTGACAGCAAACACTTTGGTGGGTAAGCTCAGCATCCCAAGCTGATAGAAGCATTTGCAGTTAGAAAGCTTTGCACTGGAGAGCGCCATGGAGAGCTGGAAGGACTTAGAGGTCTCCTCTTCCACAGCAGCACAGGCTATACGCAAACCACACCTAAAAGATGTTTGTCCAACATGTTCTTAAAGCTCTCCTTTGGTAAATACTGGCACCAGTTATTTCAACATTTTGCAACATAGACTGCCAGTTATCATGCTGACCACAACCAGCATTTCTGCACAGCACTACTATTCCTGGACACTTTCTCAATCTCTGTCATCTGGAACAATTGAACTCTCCAAGCAGGTATGACTTCCTTCTTCCAGTTTGGAAAGCCTCCAGCATGTTTCGGACATCACCACAACCTAAACAGTAAAAATATAAACTCTGTTCCTGGAACAAAGAGCAGGAGATCTCTGTTATTTGACCCACCTGATCCCCACTCAGAACTACAAGAAAAACTTAAAATGCAGCCAACATCTAGTGCTTAAAAATTTCTTCCAGACCCAAGATTGGCAACAAAAGGGACATAAGATACTTCCCAATCTTGTATTAGCTTTTTACATTATTCCAACCACTCAAACAAGAATATATTCCAAATTCATAATAGTCAATAAAAAACCAAAAACCTGATTACTCTGTCCTGCTTTGGAAGTCATATGACTGTGTAACTCATTTATATCAAAGACTCAAGTTCTACACATGTCTTTGCTACCAGTAAAGGATTGCATACACAAAAAACAGCACAACTGAGAAGCAATTTGAAGCTTGCAGCAATGCCAAAATAACAGAGAGAGAAACAACAGAAGAAAGGTTGTTTTACAATTAAAGTACAAATGGTTGAGCAAGAAGAACAAAGCACAGAGAATGGAGGTGTAGGACTTTAGTTTACACACGGGGTTTTGTACCACTAACTCTTTCTGTTCGAAATCAGTATATTTAGTAGAGACAGATTTCTCCCTGGTGGAGGACTGCACTGCCACACTGCAGGAATACATGTGCAGTACTGAGACATGCTGATGGAAGAAGCCCACTGCTTCTCTACCTCCTTCTCTTGCCTTCCCATGACCTCTTAGTTCTCCTTCTCCAAGGAATCCAAGTGCTTCTCCAAGTGCTACAAAACACTACTGAAAGAACTGTTCAGTATAAATGTATGAGGATAAGCTATGATAGAAGTGCTGTCATACTGGCATAGCCATATACAGACCCATCTGTAGCTGCAGGTCTTTTACTATCACAGTTTAAGAGCAAAACCATACACTTGACTGAGTTGGATCACTACAAAAGACAAAATTCAGTATCTTACAATTATTTTTTTTGGTTATATAATTCTTATTGGATCTCTTAAAGTAGCAAGGGTGCTTATTACTAATCTGTTGGATCTCAAGAGGGTAATGATATTTATCTTCTGGAGCACTGACTATCTCACATCATGCTGAGATGAGCCAAATCTAAATGATCCTAACCAAAGTCTTACAACTGCAATCATAATTCCCTTTTTCAACTCCTAAGAACAGGAGAATAGTGAACAAGCTTCTTTTCCACATTTAGTCTTACTACAAACTTATTAGAGACATTGTCACTACTTTCAGCATTTGCATGGCCTTACAAAACCCAGAACAATTTGGTGCTTAATTCCTTTTCAGATCTATCCATTTTCAACAGGATATACTCTTTATAACTTGTAGCCACACCAAATAATAAATTGGCACCGAGACCATTCAGCCTCTAGGCTGCATCAGCATGACTATTTTTGATTCAGAAACAGAAAAAAAAAGCCATGAAATTATCGTGGTTTCAGATGTTTTTCCTTCAGAGCAAAAATAGTTTTGTTTTGAAAAATAACATTTTGCTAGCATTTAGTCCTTAAAATAAAAAAGGATGTCAGGGTGAGGAAAAAGGCTCTTCCCACAACAATCCAAATAGGCATAGACACCAAGTCCTGGTACCAAGTGACAAAGTTTGCTTTTATAAAGAATATGTAAATACATAATCTAGCAAACAATACTGAATCAGGTATTGCAGGTCAAATAACAGGCTAGAATTGGTGGCAAGCATGGAAAAGCATGTCTGCTTTCTATAAACTTAAATAAGCTGTTAAGAGTCCAATCACCAAGGGCAAGTTATTCAGTATTTAAAGTTTGTTTTAAGCAACATAGAAATGATGCTGTCCCCTTGGAAGGAGGAGTTCATAAATTTTCCAGACTTATGAATTTGTAAAACTACAAGTTGGTAGTGACAACTGTGAAATCAAGCTGTCATTTAACCTCAATCTGAGCAATTCCTTTTCTACTTCCTCTGGATTCCTCATACATATTTTTCAAGAAAGATATTTGTACTGCAAAACCTGTATCAGATTCAAGGATCTCTTCAACAACATAACCTACAAAATCCTTAGCCATTCAGTCATATATTCCCTACCTGTTTATTAACACAGGTTAAATGCCATTTTAAATCCCGGGATTACAGTTTCCGCTGTAGCCCCTGATGGGTTGCCTATTCATGTTCCTACAGAGAGGACTGATCAATTATGTCCCTCAGCCAATAGCAGCCAACAGGAGCTCAGAATAACAAAGGTTTTACACCAGCTTCCAGTTCCAGTTTTCCAGTTCAAGCACAGCCTGTCTCCTATGGGCTAATATACCTATCTAAAAGGCCTATAAACCTTTAAAAGCAAAATCAGGATTCTAAATTGAAAAAGTGCTCATGTGATACATATAGCCATTTTTCAGGTTCTTTTCTTTTTTTTAGTTCCCTTTTGTTTGTTTCTTTCTTTCTCTTTTTTTTTTTTCTTTAATTTGACATGACAGCAAATGCCTCTCACTGGAGAAGTTTAAGTGTGATTAAATTTCAATGATTAAAAGATATGTATGACTTTTGTCTCTATGTGAATTCATTTTAAACACTCAGCTCTGACACACCTTTGGCTATTTTCCATCCCAAATCCTTGTAACAGCTAATTGGAAGAAACAGTTAATAACTGTATTCACATATATATGCTCATAGTGATCCTCCCCACTTACACTTCTGAGTTGTTTCTCATCTGGTAGCTTCTCACAACAGGAATGAAAGAAAAGAAATATAGTAAATACACTGTAACAGTTGTCATACATACCTGCAGGCATTGTGAGATGTAAACTATTCTGAGATGTAAAAACAGACAAAAAAAAAAAAAAAGTAAAGTGTCTAAACCGACTAATGCCAGCGGTTACCACAAGGACTCTGTCCTTTTGTCTTGCCCATGTATCCCAAAAGATCACCATTTGCTCATAAGCAATGAGTAAGCCTAGATTCATTCAGTCTAACTTCAGGGACTCAGCTGTTGCAACTGGATAATCGGTCTCCGACTCTGTGGCCATCAGAGACCACCGCTAGCTCCAGAAGGACTTGAAGCATGTGGAATCCTCTACAAATGGACAGCCTCCCCACCATGCCCCACAGCAGGCAGTGGAAGCACAGCCAGACAGAGTTCCTTGCAGGCTGCTGGCCCCTGACTGCAACTTGAGCACAGCAAGTGCTCAGGATCTGTGTCTTTCATTAAGGACCTGTTTTTCTGGTTGGTACTTAAAATTATGCTGTGTGTCAGAAACGGTCCACTGTTTCAATTTAAATTCCTCCCTACTTATGCAGATTTGAAGTCCCTGGTCAGTAGGAACAGCTAAATACTTTTTTCTAACTTGCCAACTTATTACTTCCCTTCTTTCATAGGGAAGATGTTATGAAAGGACTAATATTTAGTTAATCAATGGAAAGAAGTTCCTAGACATCCTGGCAATACTAGACAGCTATAAAGCCTAATGTTGATTAGATGCTACACAGTAGAGACACAGACATTGCAATCCAAATGGATGAAGACATTTTATCAGGTCCTTCTAGTTTTCCACATATCCATTTTGAAGGAAGCATGAATGAAACCAAAAACATTTGAAATAGAGCACAGCAGAAGGTGTTTTCAATGGCCACTTTGCATTCACCAGAAGCAAAGGGAATTTTTTCATGAGATGACTACATTTCAGTGATGCTTATTTTTCAGTGCAACACAGTTCAATATAACACAGTTATATTTCATTAAAAACTAATGTTCATTTTTTTTATCTTAATTGAGGTTAATTTACATTTCTGTATAAATGAAGACATGCCCAAAGTTTAAAAAAAAAAAAATTAGAATATATTTAAGAAGACATCTGGAGAAAAAGTACTGGAACACACAACCGTACTGGTAATATATTTTCCAAGCACAAAGTTTCATGCACTCTGTGGATCACTATAAAACAGCTCAGACAGCACATTTATAGAAACCTTCAAGCTGAGATTCAGCTCTGTGCAGTTGTGATGAATTGTCAGACAATTCTACCTCAAGCCTTTGTTTTCCTGTATCTCAAAGATTACAAGCTTATGGGCAGAACACATCTACATCAGATAGATGTAACTGGGAGTAGTTCAGCCTTCACAAAGCTCAGGTCAGGTTTTATTTCTGAAAACTTGACTCTGGGACAGTTCAAACCCAGGTCAATTTTTTGCCAAAGCTTCGAAGTCCAAAGGGAGCTAGGAGGACAGATAGCCTGGAGCCAGTGGTTACATATTTAAAGCAGTAGCCTATTTTCACAGCTAGGTAGAAAAGAAAATAATCCTCTCAAGTATCCTTTTAAAGTTTTGACAGCTTATATATTAAGTATATATGCATATATTCTTAAATTGTCCACCCTGCCCATGGAAACACTGAGCTTTTGGAACAGAAGCATTAGTCAACGTGATTAAAAAAAATAGAGAAGAAAGATAGCTCTGCCAGATTCTTGGCAAAACATTATCTACATCGTGATTTCCTCACAGAGAGAAAGGTGATGAACTGAGGAGAAGCAAATAAAGGCCAAGGAGCAGAAGGGCATTTAGGAAGACAGCTTTGTCTAATCTATGGGCTGAAGATTAGATATTCAATTCCAGTCAAAGGAATGGTACTCCGGGTTATGTTGTGGGTGTGGAAGATACCATGATGGGTTCTTTCCAAGTTTAAATGCAAACTGGTTTAAACAAGATTATTTTTGGTTAAAGTCACTGTGACATAGTTTCTTTCAGTTGCTTGATTATGTGAGTTTATTTAAAAAAAAAAAAAGTATGGTTCTCTCAGATCAAACAGTTTCTTTCCTGCCTTTTTCTGCCAAGTTATAATAAAATAAGGACTGTGACCTGAGTAGGATCTTCTAGAGCTAAGAAAAAAGGAAAAACAGTCTGAATAAGAGTTCATGCTACAAAGTTAAGGTAAAAAAACAGTATTAAAAAAAATACAGGATTAAGGTAAAAATATATAAACAGAAGAGCTCTTGTAAGCACTACAACCCTACAAAACACATGCTGTTCTCCCAGTTTCAGGTATGATCTGGCAAGGTGCTAATGGCCCCATGAACTTTTGGAGTCAGTAAGACACCACTCTTAAACAACACAAAATAACTCTTAGGAGGTGCTTTCTTTATATGTGACACTAAATCTTTGCTAGCTGATCTTACATTTAATCCTATAGTGTCTTCTAACATACTGGCTCTTACTGGCTTCTGTTGATGCATGTTTTGGTTTTCATTCCAAAGAGTAATGAGTGTTTTTTACATGCTTAACCAGTTTAGCAACGTCTTTGTAATGTACGATGAGAAAGCCAAAGCTTTCCCAATAGTAGGGGAAACAGCTGTCAAACACAGCACTCCGGCTCCAAACTGTTAAAATAAAAATTGTTACAAAGCCGACCTCTCGCAAATAGAGGTACTTTGGAAACTATGGCTTTTCTACAGGACTAATGGGAGTCACACGTGGGACTCTGCTCCTCGTCCTGCTGGTTTGAAAACTGGATTTGGGTTAGGATGTCTCTTTGCAGTGTTCAACAGCACAAAGCCACAAACTCTTTGCAAGACCTGGGATTAAAGCTGTAGCACAATGTGAGAAGGCTGGTCAGGGGAAAGGTTCTCCCTGGAGCCGAGAAATCCTATTTTTCCTACAGTCCTTACTCACTCCTTCAAAGATGGAAACAAAAAGCTTGAAGTTAGCTTCCTTGGGGTGTCTTGCCTCAGCAGATGCTGAGCCAACACAGCTGCCAACATCCTGCCGCTAAGAGGAGCTGAAATTCAGCTGTCATCGACAGCACAGGCATGCTCCAGCACAGACCTTTCACCAGGATCCCTCCTTCTTCTTTTCTTCCTACCTGAGGTCAGATTTCACCTCTGATGTGCCAACAGAGAACCCAACAAGTAAGGCTGCTGTTCTGAGCAAGGAGCAGGACTAGGCAGAGGAGGAGGCACACTGCCAGAGCACATACAGAACTCTTCTGACCCTATGTATGGAGAGGCAAACCAATGGGAAACAGTCTGTGGAGAGCTTACAGAGACTTAGCCATGCACCTCGACTTATGGTTATTTATGCTTTTAGCTCCAACAGTTTCCCCTCTCATATTTAAAATACTAATTGTTTTCTTCCCAGTATCATCCATGTTGTTAATGCAAGTCAAGATGATTGCCTTTCCCTGAAATTTACATCTTTTTGCTGGCTTGGAGTAGAAGCCGCTGAAGGAATGCCTGGGGCTGACAGGAGGAGAGCATCTATGTGGCCAACTCACTGGTTTACAATCAAGCAGCCCTCTCTCCAGGAGAGAGGGGAGAGAAAGTACACAACAGTATTTACAGAAAACATATGTGAATACATAATACACACTGGCAAGTCTGCCTAAAAGAGGGCAGAAGAAAGGGGCTTCAGTGTGCATCAGTTTCGCTAAAGATATGTCATCTCAACACTTCAGAGGATCAGAAAACTCCTCAGAAGCACTTCATCAAAAATACTGGAAATAAAGGAAACTCATGACAACCAGGTATTCATTGGAAAAACTTGCAGAGAAGCTCAAATTCACACAATTTACTAAAAGTGCAGTAGAAAAGTTCTGAAGGTTTCCTTCCTTCAAATTTAATCATAGGATAGTTTGCACTGAAAGGGACCTTCAAGATCATCTAATTTCAATACTTCTGCCATGGGCAGGGACATCTTCCACTAAACAAGGTTGTTCAAAGCCCCATCCAACTTGGCCTTGAACACTTCCAGGGATGGGGAGTCCACAACTTCTCTGGGCAATCTGGCCCTACGACCTTCACAGTAAAGAATTTCTTCTCAATATCTAATCTAAACCTACTCTCTTTCAGTTTGAAGCCACTGTCACTTGTCCTATTACTAAATGCTCTTGTAAAAGTCCCTCTCCAGGCTTCCTGCAGGTCCTCTTTAGGTACTGGAAAGCTACAAGTTCTCCTCAGAGCCTTCTCGTCTCCAGGCTGAACAATCCCAACTCTCTCAACCTGTCTTTAAAGGACTATTAAGTTCATAATGTTCTTCATAACAAAATACTTAAGTTATAACCAAAGCGTAAAATTGAAAAGTATGAAAATGATAAAAATATGGGAACCTTCTGTATAAGATAAAACATAGGCAGGTATTCTTCCCAAGAATGCCAAGGCAGTGGAAGGATTAAAAAAAAGGTTTATTTCAGATGCGAGGACCATTTCTCAATGATGCTATGCAGCTGGCCTCCAGAGAAAAAAGGCAATGCTCTGCCTTCTCCAAGCCTTTTGTATCTTCTTTCTCTCCTCCCCCCACCCTCTCTGGCCCAAGGAGGCCTTAAACATGTCTGCAAACATGTTATCTCTGTGCATACCCGGGAGAGAGAGAGCTTGCTCACAGCTTCTCCCTGGGACTTTCTCTGAAATGCAGAAGGAAGGAAAAAAAAAAAAAACTAACCCATTTGAGAACGCATTTTGCAGTCTTCCTAAGTGAAACCAGTTCTAGCTTTGTGTTAGAAATTCTTCCTAAATTCCACCTATCCCTTATATTTTGCCTATACCCTTCTTCCAACGGCATGACCCTCCCCAAAGCCATACAACACTAAACAGAAACTCCAAAGCCTAGATGTAAAGTGGCCCCATCATGTTTTATCAGGACATTTGAGCCTTCCATAGACTGCAAATAAATGGAAAAGCACAGCAACATAACTGCTGCATATCACTAAGCTGATGTAGTATCATCAGAGTGAAACAGCAGTGAGGTAAAATAATTCAAGCATGAAAACCAAACTAAAACAAACAAACAAAAAATATCTTCTCCATTCTCATATAACCACCAACATTAAATACACATATGTATTTTGGAAATCTATATGTTTGCTGTACTTTGTTGCAATTATCAAGTACCAGCAGGTGAGACTCACTTTTCAATCCAGTAATTAATGACCTACATTAGCCACTGTAAATATTGTAGAATCAAGAGAAACATATTATTTACTTACTAGGATAAGCACAGCCTCCAACAGCTTGCTTGTTTTTCTAGGGGATAATTTTGGAATTGAATTAAAGAACTGCATACGTAGTTTATTAACCTTTATATTTAGGGAAACAAAGAAAGCTCCTAGAAGACCTCCAAACACACCAAGGAGGATGGTCAGAATGAAGGCCAAGATGTTCATGTCCTGTAAGTTCTTAAACTGAGTCAAAGAAAGGAGAAAAAATGTCCTGAGCATCCTGCCAGTGACATGAACTATTGCACCCTCTCTCACAAAACCCAATACTTCAAAGTAATTTCTATACAGGAAATAAATCTCTCCTTGTGGTTTAGGTAATTCAGCTAATTAATTTGAAGCTGATCCCTTCTTGCACACCTCACAGGAGTGGAAACAAGCAGGTGTGCACTGGTGCCGGCAGACATAGCAGAAACCTCTGTGATGTACTTCACTTACCACTAGCACTCAGCACTCAAGTTACATCCAAATAACATGACATGATGGCCTTAATGACCACTTCAAAAGACTTTGATGAACCCGAGCTTTGCTGAATGTTCACTTATTAAGTGTCAACTTGCATCCATGTGCATTGAGATAATTTATAAGTAAATTTATATAAGTAAAACTGTGGAAATTGATGCCAAGCTAGAACAACTTGCAGAACAACAAATCACAAGCACAGAACATAATCTGGCAGCTGTAATAGTAATTGAATTTTCTGCTTGACTCCTCAACAAGCAGCAAGGATGAAAGCAATATCATGTTTTAATTTTATCTTCCAGCCAACAAAAAGGGGTCAACAGGTTGGTGGCAATCTATTAAAAGCTGTGATGATATTATTTCCCTAGCCTAAGCTTAGGGTTACACAGCTTTTTGTTATGATTGGGATCTGGACAAAGTAAGAGATCATAAAATGCATAAAAATCTACATGGCAAGAAGCAGGAAGGGCACATGTCAAGGGTTGCCTGCAATAAAACCCCCTAAACTGGTATAATCTTGGGGGTAGGGGATAGGAGAAACTGTCAGGTGTCAGTCTGCCTTGAATTGCTTCACCTTGAGCTCCTCTTACTGTTCAAACTCTTTTTTCTTCTTCCTTCTCTTCTTCTTGAACCTTAATCTTATTCTTGGTCTTGCTACAGCTAGCCTAGAGTTTAACAAATTTACCAGGTGTCTGTACTAAACACGGATGGTATTTCCTGAGAGGAGAAATGCCAGGGTCAAAACCCACTCAGGCTTCAAGGGGGGGTTCACGGGGTGCTGCAGAAACTGGGTCTGGAAGAGGGAGAATCCCAGTAGCCATTCCTAGCCACCAGAAGATCAACACCTGCAGGCTACACTTGCAGGGACTACAACAGGACTACAACAATCATATATGTAGGTACTCTGTGTACTAAGAAAAACATTAATAATGCTATTTTTAATAATAGCTGTAACAATATCCATGTTTTTCCAAAGAATTTAAAGGGATCTAATGTTTAAGGCATTGAAATTCTGAGAGAAGTAGCCTAATTTGAAGTAGAAAAACATCTGTTTTATTTACTGCAGGATCGAAATATCTTGCATTATATTATTTCTAATTCCAATCCTTCACTAAAACTAAAAATAGACAGTGTGATTTTATTATTTTTTCTCCCTATCTCCATTTTTCCAAAGGAAAAGACATACTGAGGTATTTGCTTTAAGGTAATATATGCACATTTCACTGCATGTGTGTGGCAATAAAAGTAAAGTCAAGACAGCCAGCATGTTCTGCATGCTGGGAATGAAAGGTGGCACAGTATACTGTTTGTTTTTGATGTAATATCAACCATAAGCTTTGGCCAGTCATCAAGAAAAAACTGGTATCTACAGAGCAAATTTCACCTTTAGAATTAATCCAGTGGTCTAAGTAAAAATAAAGTGAAGTTTCCTGAAAATCTCATGCTCTGGAGTACAATAAAATCCCCTTGTAACATTATCCTAGGTAGAATGAAACTAAAAAAAAAAAAAATCAAAAAAAAAAAATCATCATTTTCTTGAGAAACATAACCCACAAGCTTTAAACTCAGAGTTTATCTACTGTAAACTGTGTTTGCTTAATGCCACAAAATATACAAGAAGCAAAATTTCCCCTGAGCCCCATGCCCAAATATTTCTGGTTATCTGTACCACACTGAGAGCCAAAAACTACTGAACCCTGCCAGAAGTTATGTTGTTAATGATTTTAGCTAACTTTTCCCTCTAAGATAGAAGGAAAGAGAATCCACTGCTCTTTCCAGAAAACATCCTGAACTGAGTGTTAAGAGAGCAATGCTTATTGTAAAATAGCAACTGAAGTGAATCCACTTTCCCCTGGGTGTGCAGCTGTTAATTACTTTGGCTTCAGCAATTAATCTGGCTTCAAAATGCCTGACTTCTTTCCTGCCCACATAGTCTCACCTTTATGCCACAAACTTTTATCTTCTTGGTGTGTAACTGCAGCTGTTTGGGGGGCTCCACTCTGAGTTGGTCCACAAAAAGGATTTGGGCCGAAAACCCATGTCTTCTCTATTTTCCCCTGCTAAACTAGTGGTAAAGCAAATATTTCAGGGAGCATGCACACAAAAAATATTGCCCATTTTCCCAACCAAGGTATAGCTACAGTGAGAAATGCCATAATCTTTTTAGTTTCTGCATTGCTAGAGATATACAACCCAGAAGAAATTCAGAGATAATTGAAAGTGCTCAGGCAATTGCCATAGGAAAAATTTATATAGTAGGAAAAAGTGAATTAGGATTCAGAATACCAGAGTTTATTTCTAGCTCTCTAATTGATCTCCAAGTCAAATACAAAGAAGAATATTTAGGCAACAAGAAGGGAAGACCATGATACTTGCACATCACTATTGAATATTGCTATCTTGCAATAAAAATGAGTGAAAGACATGATAATAAAAGCAACTACTTTCAGGTGGACATAAGGTAAAATCCAAAGATAAGGTTGTGTCATGCTGGAAGGAATAAAGCAAAGGTAGGTGAGGCTGAAGGTCACCTCCGTTTTGCAACCAGGAACAAACAGTGATTACAGTTTTTCAAATGTTTAATCTGGAAGCACCAAGGAACAGGGGCACAGTACAGCACTGTCTGCAGCAACAGCTGAGAGCTTGATCCAGCCACAGGAGAGGACAGCCTATTTAAGAGCTTCTCTGCCTTTTCCTTTACTTCGAAGTATCCCTCCTCTATCCAGCACCAACACAGAAAGTTATCTTAATAACCAATATGACTGGTTAATAAGCAAACAGTAGATGCTTTGTCTACTTGCTCGCTATAATTTAGAACAAAACAAATCTCGTATTTAAGTCATCGCCAGATGTAAAGTGTGAAGACATCCATATCCACTGATCTGATAACTGTACATATCCCAGCCTTTCCCCTTCTCAGTCCCCCTTTCCTGCTTCTCCCCCAACAATAATGCTGAAGGAGACAAGTCTAAACTCCTGCATCTATTTTCTCCCACATCCACACAATATGTACCCAAAATAGAATTCTTTTCTCTGCCTCAAAAAATTCAAAATGGCCCCTGTAAACAAACCCATAGAGTTAAGAGGACACTACACCCGTGGTGAAGGTGGCCATCAAGCAGCAGAATAAGCCTTGCTAGACCAGCCTTATGTCCCCGAACGAAGCCATCCTTCTCAAGCAAACAAGAGCCCACCAACGGGGGCATGAAATACCAAACTTATGCCTGCTTCTGCAGCAGCCATAGTGAAACTGCATCTGCAACAGGTAGAAGAGTCAAAATTTGGGTAACAGAGGTAAAAAAGAGAGAAAAAAAACCCATAACCATAATTTCCTGTCAAAGCTGGGTTTACGTGGCTGAATTTAAACACACGATGGTTTATTATAGGGTCATTAAAGTGCCTTGCATCTCTACAACATGAGTTCAGACGTGTCTTGACCTCTGACTTTGACAAAATCTCAACCCTGTAACATCATTTGGAGACCACTGTGCCATGACAGTGAACTGCTGAACTAGCACCAACCATACTAAGGCCAGGAAGATGTTCCACTTCACATCCTGCAACAGTGCAGTCACAGGAGTGAAACACTGCACTGAAAAAAAAGGTAAGAAAGCTTAAAATTCACTAGAGAATAAGAGTACATCCCCGGAGCCTGCAGGCTCAACACGCTGCCTCAATTTATAAATGTCTGATAAATCCACAGGGAACACTATACCTTGTCTCCCTCCCTGCAAAGATATGGAGCCCACATATGTCCCAACTTCTGTTGCTGTAAGCAGCACAAGGAGTTCAAATGCTGGAGATCTGCATTATGAGCCACTGCCAGTAAAGAAAAAAAAGAGGAAAAAGAAGGAGAAAAAAGAGGGGGGATAATAATTACACTATTATAAAAAGGCACGAGAACAATCTTCCTTTATACATCTATATTATATATTTTCCCATACACAACATAATTTGCTTTCCAAAATACCTATTTCATTCTATTAAAACAACATCCTGAATCAGACAAATGTTACATTTTTAATGGAGGACACAGTGTACAAAACAGAGAGAGGGATTTAGAAAGAGGAAATAAAATTATGCTTGAATTCTGTCTTAGAAAAATAGAATCAAGACCAGCCATTGCAGGAGTTACTGCAGTAATGCTGATACATCTAATGCACTAATCAATAGTGCTCACAAGCTTATAAAACTTGTATCCTCTGGATGTGCTACCTGAGACCTCAGGGGTAATTTATAGACATGCTGAGCACTCAGTACTAACTGAAGTCAACAAGTATACAGAACACTTGAACCTACTTTAACACCAAAAGACACTAGGGGAGTGGGAGTATGTCATCCTGGTCTTTGTGAAGAAGTGAGGTCTCAGACTGAAATTTGTCTCTGCTGCTCACCAACAACCCTCTCCATGAAGGGGACATCCATACAACCTGTCTCTCCCAGGATGGTTCCTGACTGTAAGCTAATGCTTCTTTCTAATTATACTGTAACTGGATTCTGCACAGAAAAACAAACATTTTCTATACTTTTCTGACTGCAATTGCTGATTTCTTCCATGAGTAACATTTTGTTTAATCATCACATCGCAGATTTATTTAAATGACTGATCTTAAAAGCCTAAAGGCAACGGAGATCCCACATCATCCCTTTGGTGCTTTTTGATTTACTTTTAAGCTACAGATAGTTCACAAGTGACTGTTCATTTGAATTCTTTCTATTTCTTTAGAAAATTAACACTCAGGAGTCTTTCTTTTTATCTTTACTTTAAAAAAATAAACAACATTGTATAGAGTTTTATATGTCAACATGACAAAAAATACCATCCAGATGACATAAACTGGTTGCAGTTTCTTTTTCTGGAAACTAATCTCATTAATTTCAGTAGAATTGTTCACATGAGAGAGTTTACCAGCATTATCTCACAGACATGCATGAGCAGAGAAGAGCCAGACTAAAAAAGTGTCACAAACAATTTACTTTTTCCAAACTTGAAAAATAAAGCAAGGCCCACCCATGCACATTGTGCAATTCCCATCATCTCTTTTTTCCTGGGACAGCATCATTAATTTAAGGGTAAAGTCCATGTGTAAAAATCTTTCATTTTTCTCCCTCCTTACATAACCCAGAAGGCAATGGGAAAAAAAAGTCTTCTGTATTAATGTATTAAACAACCTGTGAACTTTGTTTTAATTAAAGAACTCTTGTTTAATTAATCGACTTTCTTTTGAGTAGAGTGGGTGGCTTTTTCCCTATTCCAAAATGACGAAGAGCAGAAAGATTTAAAGATTGCAAGTGCAGCATCTCTGTTTCCCCTTCCAGATGCAATGGGCTCACTGATGACTCACCAGACACTCTGGGGCACTGAAGACATGTGGCAGGGCAGCCCTTGCGGAGCCCAGGGCCACAAACCAGGAGAGCACTAAAAGTGATGTCATACAATTGAAGGCACTCTTTGGTAAATCAGACACAGCTAAAGGCAGAGGAGGACAGAGCCTTAGCCTGCGTGCAGCAGCAGAGCTAGATTGGTTTCAACAGATTTAAACATGGCATATGCTGAGCATGTCTTTTAAGCATGCGAAGTACTGTTGACATAAAGGAGGAAGCTACTAAAGACTTTCAGATTCCTGACTCAGAGACTTAAATGTCTCTTCTGCAAGGGGTATTATGATGATAGTCCCTGAAATGCCTTTGAATGTTAATGTCTGCCCAAGTGTGGTGACATATCAGACTACAGCTTATCACTTCAGTCATCTGTTCCCAGGTTAATGACCATAGCAGCCAGAACAGCCCTACTGCTAACAAAAGATGTGTAATGATTTAAATATTACAGTGTGTTCCCAGGCAGCACTTCAAACTGCATTTAAATGGGGTAAAAAAAATCCAAACCCTTAGCGAAATGAAAAATCTATTCACTGTATAATCTTGGAAGACTTTTCTACAAGACTTAAATTTGGAGCCTTTACAAATCTCTCAGAGGCTTTTAGCAACTTACGTGTGTTTATGTTTAATAAAAATGGTGGAGGGTTCCAACTAAATTAAATTAAACTAGCTCTTAATTCCTATGTTTTGAAAAGGCATCACGTTGATACTGTGATGACTTTATTCACGGAAAAATGATTCAGCTCTTTGGCTCATGCATCATTGTTACCAACCCAGCACAAAGGAAAAAAAGAAATCACAGCTGCAGTCTCTGAGCTCCCGGAGACAAATGTCTGAAAGCAAAGAAAACAAAAGAAACCAAAAGGGAGAGATAAACCTTGTTAAGCATTGTCTAGAAGGTTTGTGGCCACTGCTGACTAACCATGCACTCCTATTTTTGAACATCTGAGTCATCCTCTACGGCGCTACACCTCTGTGCAAATAAATAAATAAATAAATATAAACCCACTGAGCAACAGAAAATGTGAATGGATGGTCAGGAGAATAGCTTTGGTCAGGGTGGTGAAGAGGGAGAGAACAAACCTCAAGGATGAATACTTTCCAAAACCAAAACGGATCAGAAATAAAACAGCAAAACAGCCAACAAACAGTCTACATCCTATTAGCAGAGATCAATTTTACCATCTCTACTCAAGATATGGTTCCAAACAGGTAATAAAGTGCAGCAGGATTCTCCTCTAAATGATGAATAAAAGAAATTACGTCACTTTCCAAAACAAAAAAGCCCAAAATCTGGCTTGCAGTTTCCAAGTTTGGTTATACTGCAACATAGTAAATTTTAAGATCTGCTCTGACCTAAAGAGCTGGAATGGGCAACCCTCCTCTGCCCCCTCACAAGGCTCAGACCACAACAGGGTGATGGGATTCTCTTCCTTTGTACATAAAAAGGCATAAAAACATTATCCTTCAAAAAGACTATGAAGTCTACTTTTCCCCATACAGAAACCTAGTATTACATTACTGCATGAACAACAAGCAGCTTCAACCCAACTTGCAATCTGCCACCTGCAGAGCAGCACCTGGTTCCTGCGGTTGCCCTCAGCTGGCATTGGTGTCTGCTGTGTTTGCAAGCTGGAAATACAGACTCCAGAGGCCTGGCTGTCCATCACTGCATGCCTTGCACAGCCACTTACAGCACTTCTGCGGGTGTATGCAAAACTATTGCTGCTGGTGTGTGCAGCCACTTGAGATTGGCTACAAACTTTGCACAGTTAAAAGCAGTCACACGAGATGTAAAGCAACCAGCAGGCCATTGCTGTGGGACAGATGGCTTTTCAGAAACAAAACTGACTGCAGTTGTCCAGATAACTGCTTGCTGAGCATCACGGGGAATTGTGCTTAAAAAGATTGTGTTAAACAGCTGTTGGATAGAGGTGCCATTCAAACACCAATAATTTCTAGCAAGCCAGATGATGAACATGCTGAGTAAAAGGACTGCAAAGGAAAAAAAAAAAAAAAAAAAAAAAGAAGACAGAAATAGAATCAACAATTATTAGATGTTGATGTGTTAGATGCATCTGTGGACAGTTTTGCAGTCTGGCCCTCACCTTGCTCTGTTCACAAAAAAACTTCCCAGAATTAACAGAAAACATAGGTACACATATAACTTCTGGCTATGCACAAAAATTCAAGCTCCCCACAGTGTTGCTACACACATATTGAGGGTAATGAGACAGGAAAACAACTGACAAGGGCCTCTCTCCCAGACCCAGAACCCTGCCAGCCCTCCATGATGCCTGAAGCCAAATAGACTCTTATCTTGGCACAAACTAAGAGGCAGGGTGTACATGTGAACTTGTGTGATGATCTGTTCAGTCAGTTCAGACTTTGGAAAGCTTAAACCTGGTTAGTTATTGTATGTATAGCAGCAAACTCTGTTTTCCTGTTGCTGAATTTCAGGGTAAGTCCAGTAAAACGTTCACTTTTTCTCTCACCTATGCTGTTAATTGCCTGTCTATAATTAAATTGAACACAGTAGGATAGTAAATGACAGAACAGCTCAATGTTTTAGCCTTGCTGCCTCATAAAAGTACTAAACTGAGCTACATGCAATATCCACATAGTACAGCTAAATGAACAATCTAAAACCAACAGGAACTTTTATATGGACTGATGGTCTTTGGCTTAGGCCCCTTCCAAACACTTGAGTTTTCATGAGTTACACCAGCTGCCACTTATATTTATTTTATAAACACCACATGCTAAGTGTAAATTGCATCGCCACCACCGCTGATTTCACCCCAGACACCTTTATACAAGTTACGGGTGGTGGAATCCAGCTTTAGGCTGAAGTCCAAGAAAGACCTTTCCAATGGGGTTGTATAACTGACGGGGGAGGGAATGGAGGGGTGTGTTAAATAAAATACTGAATCAACCAGTATATGGAAGAGCAAAAGATTCAGTTTATCACCGTGTTATTGACTTGTTGCACAGGAGATCTAACGCTCACCAGCACTGAGCCTGAAGAGAGAACCACCAAGGCCAGCCCTGACCAAAGCACACACAGCCAGGTCACGTGGGTGGACAAATAGATTACTACATCAGCAGTCACAGACCAGGTCCTGCTTTTCAATCATCTTTTGTTCCACAGATTTCTGCGGGAAGAAGGTGTATGATAGGGAAAAAATCAAAACAAGCAGCACAGGCTCTTTAGAAGGATGGGAGTGAGTAAGGGTGAGGTGAATGATGACTTTCAGAGTCAAGTAATTTTTTTTTTCCAGGATTTCTTGCCCATCTCTAAAAACATTATAAAGGATATGTTGTTACTCATTAAGACCTTTTTCAGGTCAAAAGCAGAGTTCAAGGACTTTAAGAACACACACAAGAAAACAGAATTAATTTTGCCTGAATGGAGGCTTCAAAGTAATAATCTTCATGAATTTGCAGCTATATTCTGTAGATAGAATATACGTGAGCAAGCTCTTTCCTGCTTTATTTTAGCCAAAAGGATATCTCTCATACTGGGCATTCCAACATTCAAAAAACATGTCCTGGTCATCCTGGGTTTTCGGTTGGTTTGTTTGTTTGTGTTTGGGCTGACCGCAGCAGTGCTGTCTCCAGAACTCCTCGACTCCCACGTACTTCACTGTGATACATTGCGGGTGCAGTTCAAGCACATCCCTTGCATTTCTGAGGTCACCGTGCCATACCCAGACACCGCAGCTTTCCCAGCAGCATCTGCCATCAAGTGTTTTGTAAATGCATTGTGCAGCACAGCCAAACAGCAAAAGTAAAGTGCACAAAAAAGAGGTTTGCTCATCCGCAGCTGAAGGCAGTATTTAGATGGGAATATGTTCCAGAGCAGGAATTACATTTCGTAGTTACGTCAGAGCTCAGCTCCTGTCCCTCTGTATTAGCATAATACAATAGGACAAATTTTATAATACAATAGGACCAACAGTGTGTGTGTAACAGCGGTTCTGATGCCCTGGAGTCAAACTGTGGTTTCTTTCTACATATTCTTTATTTGTACTTTGGTGTGTATATATACATACAAATGCATATATACACACTTGCATGTGTATTTATTCCACTGTTTATATATTTTATAAACATACACATAGTTTGTATAGAAAAAAAATCAGGGAAATAATATTCCAAAAGCATTATATATGCTTTCCCCATGTAAAACCTAAACTTGTTCATTTCTTGAATATTCCTGTTGATATATTCAGCTTCCATCTGCTGCACAGAATAACCCTTCCCTTGCATTTCTGTGAAGTGATTGAGATCTGTCCTTCAGCAGTTGGCAGCAGTATTCCATTTTCTTGGTTCCACAGAATACTGGAGGACATATCCACATAACCACTGCACTGGAGAGCCCAAAACTGGACGCAGTACTTCAGATGTGACCTCACCGGTGCTGAAGAGAGGGGAAGAATCACTTCCCTCAACCTGCTGGCAATACTCCTAATGCAGCCCAGGATGCTGTTGGTACCACAGCCTTGTGGTCTATCAAGCACTGCTTCCTTCCAGTTTTGCTTTTGCCCACAAGTTTGCTGAGGGTGCACCACAACATTGTCCCACCATCCAGGTCATTAGTGAAAATATCCAACAGTATTTGGCCCCAGTACTGACCTCTGGGGCACACCCATGATGACCAGCCTCCAGATGGACTTTGTGCCACTGATCATAATGCTTTGAGCCTAGGAGTTCTGCCAGCTAAATCCATCTCATTGTCCACTTATCTAACCCTTACACCATTAGTTTGTCTATGACAGTATTATGGCAGACACTGATGAAAGCCTTGCTAAAGCTGAAATGAAAACATCCACTGTTCCAGTCATCACATTGTAGAAGGTTGCTATCTGCTGTAAATCCATGCCAACTACTTCTTGTCCTTCATACAGCTCCCGCTCCTAACTATGGTATGTTCTCCCTAAAGACCCTCTATCCAGCTACTGCAGTGCTACAGAAGTGTCAGCTATCCCACCACATCTGTGCAGACAAGGAGCTCATCTGCCATGCTCCAGACTCAGTGAGAGACCCCAAGCACTGCCCAGAGCCACAAATCTCAAGACCTACCTCCCTCAGCAGCTTGCTCTGGGCTGTAGCCTTTGCTGAGTCAGGGGCAATTTCTCTGCTGGTTGCTGGGGACCCCCAGCAGCTCCCTTCCACTGCTGCAGAGCAGAAAAGCACTGTCAGCCCAGACTCTGGCCTCCTTCTGCACAAATTGATGGCTGCATTCTGTGCTTGATGGTTATACAGGGTTCCCCCAGCACCCACTGATGGGATTCCTGACCCTCCCTGGTTAGGATTCAGCTGGAACAAAAGCTCAAAGCCCCTTTCTCATAAGAAGCATTTTGATATTTATACCATCTACCATAGATATCACAAGCTAAGTGAAAATTTTACCACCTGCTTCTCTCTACAGGTGAGAAAAGCAAGCAGTCAGAGTCAGTGATGCCTTAACATGTACATCTGGTTTACCCATTCAGTGATTTTTACTATCACCATTATAATTATCACAGAGGCAATGGTATCCATCAAGGACAAATTAATAATTCCACAATATTCTATTACTGAAAATACAGCTTCCCCAGACATAGAAAGAAATAACATATCTGATACCAGGTCCACAGTCACTAAGTACCTTTATGAATCTTAATCCATTCCCTTGGATATCAACTGTACCTAAAGCAGCACGTCCCTCTTGCGTACAAGCAGAAAGAGGAAGGCCACAGTATTTTAAAGTCTACTTTTATCAATCTCATAACAGGAACACCATCAGACATTACACTGTACTGGAGGCCAAGTTGTAGCAAAGGACACCAACGTGTGTGTACACAAAGGACTGCAGGGTATCTGATCTCCACAGTCACCTAGACTGGCAGCACCTTTGTGTAGTTACAACTTTACACTGTTGATTTTCTAATAAACAAACACAGAAAACGTCTCTCTGACTTTTTCTTGCTCACCTGCAGGTAATTTTCCACCAGGTTCCATTTAGATTTGATGAGTAAGTAAATTACCCAATGAATCAAAAACCCCGGCACCCCCACTGCTGTTCCAATTAGCCCCATCAGCAGCCATCGATCCCACTCTGTTCTAGAAACAGGAAAACACAGTTCTCTCTCAGATCATAGCACAGGACTATTTGCAATGCTACCTCTCACAAACACGCAAGCTCCATTTTTAAAGCACTCTGATTATTAACTGTGACTGCCTGACCAAGAGGCTGTTCATGCCAATCTCTCTTTTAAAAGTGTACACTCAACAAAGTTCTACCTTCAGGTGAAAGCCATTTTCATTTGGGTAAGGAACATCGTTCGATTTCTTGGGTTTGGATTTGTTTTTTTTAGTATACATGTAGCAGTGCAATCTGCTTTCAGATGCTGTTTGATGTCATGTCAAAATCTTTACATGACTCAGTAATTAAGCATTCTGTAGAGCACTCTGAATATGTTTCAAAGTAATCCCTGTTTTCAACTGCAAGTAATGCACTGAGCACCTATCATGTAAATGTGCAAACCTTTACTTCCAGTTTCTATCTTTTCTAAACTTCCACTTCTAATAAAAATCATGCACCAATAACAACAACTGATTTATTTCTAGTATCAGCTAGAACTAGAGCAGGCCTACTGAGATTCAAACACTATGGTTCCTCCTATTATACTAAATTTTTTTTTACAAACTCCATTAAAATTAAAAAATTAATTACTTTTTAATTTTAATTTAAAAATTAATTGTATTTTTACCATTAATTGCAATTAACTTCAAGAAAAGTCTCAGTAAGAAAACGTTCTCGCAAAGCTCTGCAAAGTCTCTTCCTCTTAAGCTGTATACATTGAGAAGTTAATGATTTAATTTTTTTTTTGCATATTCAATAATCTGTGAAGAGCAAAGACATAAGCACTTACAAAAATGCTTTAAATTTCTTGGGCCCCTTCTACATTCAAAATATTTTTCTGTGTACAGAAACAATAAATAACATTTTCTTAATTCCTTCTGCTATTAGGCATCTCCCTGGAATGTCCAAATTACACACAGCTTTAGAGGCAACTTAACAGTACTTAAGGTAAGTTTACCTGTATTTTTTTTGTTGTAGCCACTTTTTATTAAGTTTACTGTGTGAAGGCAAATAATCCAAACTCCCGTGGGCTATCAGGTGTTCTCTCTTGTCCTCCTTGCAGTGATAAAATGCTAACCTGCTTCTGCTGATGCTGCATTGACTCCTAAAATCCTGAGAATTAATCAAATCAGGCCCATGACCTTTCGCTATTAACACCTCCTCGTCACCATTTCCCATGTGTGCCCTATGGGAAAAAAGTGATGATATTACGGTGGCCTCCAAGAATCTTTGGGATGCCAACAAGAATTATGTGAGCCCAAGATCAGTCTACTTGAGACTGAGAGAGGGAGGAACAGGAAATCACATGAAGATGGAGTAGTTGTGGTGCAGTGATCGGCTTTGTGTTTGGCGTTGCCTTGCTGTGGCTGTGCATGGACACAGCACTGTCAAAGCAATGAAAACCTGCCCGAGCCAGTGCTCTCTGGTGAAGAAGTCATTCTAAGTACAGACCAACCACTGCAGCAACATTATTGCACCAGCTTCTTGCTGACTGTTCAAAGGACAGGGACATTTAAGCCATAGGGGCTTTGTCTGTTTCAAAGAGATGGTTACTTGCTGTGCTTTGGGCTGTCCATAGCTTTTGATCCACTAATCTAATCACACAATTAAATAAAACAAAATCTAGACTGCAGTGACATTCAGTTAAACCCTGGATTTTCAGTTTGTTGCATAGGCAATCTAGAAAAGTTTATTCTCTAACACAGTTACCTTTGAATTTACATGTCAAATTTCTTTTTAGATAGACAAACCCAATCTGCTAGACTACCAAATGTACTACAGCTTGGATACTTTACTCCAGTACTTTGTAAATTGGCAGTTCAATCAGAGCAGAAAAAGACTTGATGAATGTCAAGTATTTACTGTAAAGAAAAATCAGTAACATGCTGTGTGTTTGCCACCTCCAAGGCGTGGCTTTCGTTACCAAAGATAGAATAAAAAGGATTTCTGCTGCTCTCCACTAACTGGCATTTGGACCAATTTGAAAAGGTCTCATCTCAAATAATCATAGAATCACAGGACCATAGAATGGTTTCGGTTGGAAGGGATCTTAAAGATCATTTAGTCCTACCCCCTGTGCCATGGGCAGGGACACCTTCCACTAGACCAGGTTGCTCAGAGCTCCATTCAACCTGGCCTTGAATACTGCTATGAACAGGGCATCCACAACTTCTCTGGGCAACCTGTTCCCGTGCCTCACCACCCTCACAGGGAAGAATTTTTTCCTAATATCTGACCTAACCCCACTCTCTTTCAGTTTGAAGCCATTTCCCCTTGTCCTGTCACTCCCTTGTAAACAGACTCTCTCCATCTTTCTTTTAGGCTCCCTTCAGGTACTGGAAGGCCACAATTAGGTCTCCCCAAAGCCATCTCTTCTTCAGGCAATGAGGGAACATAAGTAACTCCTGATTGTCATTTTTGTGAGTACTAAATGAAAAGAGGGAAGAAAAATCTTTACAGAAGCCACATGCAAATTACCCAAAACCAAGTCTTTTGGACCTATGGTTTTGCAATGCTGAAAATTTCCTTGTGGCCCACTACTCACACTTCTCAAATGTAAGAAAACACGCCATGAAGGCAACACTGCCCAGGGCAGGGAAGCACCTCCATGTCAGGATACAGCAATGGCCTAAATCCAATTTCTTATACCATGACTGGTGTTTTTTTGCCAGCTCAATCAGGCATTTCATTCTAGAGATTTCAAAAATACTATGCAAACTGCAGACCTGGTAAAAATCAGTCTCAGAAAAAAGAGAAAGAGTTAAGAAAAAAATTGGTCTAGGTGGAAACGAAAGACTTCAGAAAAAAATTGTTGCTGGAAACTGTGTGAATGGCTATGAGCGACAGTAAATGCCTTAGAAAAGTTAATGTTACTTTCCTCAGATATAGGGAAATAAATGTATCTTTGAGACCTGTACACCATAGTGACCTTATCTGACAACAAATACACATTGTGTCATCAATTAAATCCCTCCAGTCAAAGGTGAATTGAGGAGTACTAGCAGGATTCTGACCGATTATGTACATTTGTTATGCAAAAAGTGATAACTGCTTCACAAACTGCTTCACATAGAAGCTCAGACCTTAAGTTTTGGGTTATACAAAAGTTGGGTTTAACTAGTCCTATTCCAAGTTTAAAATGGAGCAAAAAAAAGCAGAGCCCAAACAAGAAAAGCAGGCAACTGAGCAGAGCTCCTGGCTGGCACCCCACCACTGCTTCAATTCAGGGATGCCCAGACTGGCTACCGTCAGGTCTCCATTTAGCCCACTTCTTTATTTCTGGAACATGAGATTTGTATGATGTTATTTTCTAGTTGTGTTAGATCAAACTGTTATATGTGAATAGATCTGGGTATTACAAAAATTGCAGCATAAACAGAAATACAAAATCCACTCAACAATATAGATGGAGGTAGGGGAGAAACCTTGAAACTAAAGCTACATTTCTAGGGGAAACAGATGAGGCCAAGTCACACTGCTCACAGACCACACTCATTCCATGTCACGATGCTCTCTTATGTAAGCAGGATGGCTGTTTTTCCTCAAACATGAATACCATTCCCATCCATAACAGCATAAATGAGCATTTGCCTTTGCTGTCCCTCACTGCCAGAAAACCGAAGCTAACTCCTCTTCCATCAGACAGGAATCCAACTCAGTCTCTGCAGCAGCAGCTCAGCTGTACTGCAAATTCTCACAATCACCCACTCATGCATTCAAATTTTAAAAACCAAAATGGAGTAAGAATGTGTTTTCGAACTTTGACCCCTGATTTTTTCCCCATGGACTCCTCTATAGTCCACTTAAACCCACCAGTACAGTCACTTATCTGAAATACATTTCACAAACCTCTGAGAAGCAGTGCACAAATGGTCAGGCTCCAAAAGCTAGATGGTAAAAAACAAGGAAAGATTTGAGATGCAGGTTGAGACAACTCTACAGAGGACAGACAAGGCCTTAGAAATTACATATAAAAACAGGGTTTCGTTCATTATCTTACAATGAAACCTGAAGACATTATCAGAATACTTAGATGAAGAAGGCAAATGCAGACTGGGGTTGTAAAGGAATTCTGTACCACAAATTCTTCTGCTTAATTGTCCTGTCAGAATATAACCCAAAACCTATGCATTTTGGCTGTCACTGTTAAATACGCTCCTCCAAAGACACACACTAACACCTCCCAGTGCAGAACATGAGTTTTCATCTTTCTTTTGTAAAGTATTTTCAGTGGTGTATTATCACTTCTGTAAAGTCTGCATAAGGATTGTCCTGATTTCTGAAATGTTTTTATCTTCAAACATCACACAAAGATCTTTCTGCTTATTCAAGAGCTTCTGCAACTCAAGTTTTGCCACAGATAAAGACAATCAGAGGCAATGGTGAAAAAATATCTTCTCAGTACTGAAAGATAAAATGCCCCCACCCATGCAAGGACAGCAGAGTCCAGACTATGACCAGTTCCCAGGTTTTCCATTAACTTCTGACTTCTGCAAGGCTTACTACCTTACTTGAGTGTTCTTACCTCACCACAGCCTAACTGGGCACAGCTGCCTTGGAGACAAGGAGGGAAAGGAGTAACATGCGTTCATCACCACAAAAAGCTAGTAGTACACACTTCTTTGTGTCAAATGCTTAAAGGAGTCAAGTTATAAATTGAATTTTACTTAGCTGAGAAAGAGTTATGAAATACTAATATGGGGGAAAAAATCATGCTTTCAAGATGCAAGACCCCATTTGGGAAGCCACAGAGCGCCTTGCTCAACCCCCAAGCAGCTGCCATGCAGACCACGGAACTCCTCGCAGAATGGCAAGGGCAGAATAAGGAGGGTGGACAGATACCAGCACAGCTCTCTCCTCCTTGGTAAGCCTAAGCAGGCTGAGCTAGACTGCCTCCAGTTAGGACCTGGAAAACAGCTCCCTTGAAACTAGAAAGATCAAGGATTGGATCACTGTTACTTGCTGACCTGGATTACAGGCAAGGTGTGTTGTACAGCAGAAATGCAGCTACCACATGATTATCTGTAGCTGGCCATTCCAACATAAAGCTTTGGGCCAGCCCAACTAACTCACAAATAACCAGGAAGAAGGAACAAAACAATTTTATTTGCCTAAATGCTTTGTAAGAGTATGTGCATGCATGCACACATGTGTTCTTTATCCCTCAGAAGACCAGGGTGGAATAACCCCAACCAATACTATGAAAATACAAAATAAGAGTTGCTAAGTTACAAGCCAGAGCAAGTAAGAACTACCTACCAAACAGCAGTAGAGGTACAGCATGAAATTAATACCAAAACATTTGCCACTTTTCTTGAAATAGTACAGACATCAGATTTCAGCTATTACACATAAAAGCACCTACAACAGAACTCTAATTCTTGCTATGGTTGCACTACCTGAGCACAAATTACTGGTCACCCCTGTATCTAGCTAGCTACATAATGTAATTTCAGCTGTTTAGTGGCAAGCATGTAAAAACAGGCAAATACTCAGCTGGCATCTCAGTTTTAAGTAGACAGAAAACCATGTATTTTTTGAATGGTGTCAGCAGTTGTACATACTTAAATTACATTAATTCCTTCCCTCTCCACTGCCCTCCTGTCTTCAGCTACAGGCTTGTTAGTGCAGCACATGTGATCTGTCCATCTGTCAAGTAAAACAATGCACCATTTTTGTTGGCTTCTGTTTTAATACTCGAATTAGACAGATATTACAGGATCATACAATCACGAAAATACAATAAAGCATTAGAGACTGAGAATTAATGTTGTTAACACTCCATGAATAACACACCGATTCCATACAAATCTGAAGGTCAACGTGAAGAATATTTGAAATGCCAGAAGAAACAGTTTCTACTCTAAGGAACATGAACAGTTCAGAATATATTATTCAACAGACTGAGAACAGGGTGGTAAAATGAAGAGCTTCCAAAGCAGTACTCTGTTCACAGCACCCCACTCTGAAGATCAAAACCATTTCACTACTAACTGAGGTGACACTCAAAGAGTTCAAATAATGAGTGTTTAATGCATAATCTGAATGACAACTCAAGGAAGCAAATAATTATCATAGTCATTGAACAAAGATATAAAGATATCACTAACTAGAAATGTCATGGCTATAAAGTTTCATATTGGTTCAGTATTTCAAAGTTACAGTATTTATATAGTACTAACTTAGCGTGAGAATTTTGCTATAAATGCACTGACTCATACATGTGATGCTGACTGTTTTCTGATAAGGCTGTAACAAATCTAATATATTGACAGGTTGGTGGTATCATACAATACATTAGATGTATTCTGCAAATCTTCAGATAGAAAAAAAATGTACACATAAGAGGAAATGGTTTCAGAAAACACAAACCAAGATGACTATGACCATCTCCGTGAATCCTCAAACTGTGATGTCGTGGCAAGGAGTTATTTTAGATTTCTCAGAATCAGATGGTCCCAGAGCTCGAAACGCAACACATCACTCAGAGATGAGAAATAATGTTCTCTCACAAAACTGCAATTGAGCAAACAACAAACACTAGAGGAATCTGTCAGCCAGAAAAGGCAGGGGTCAGGGTTGCTGGCAATTCGCCTGATACTGTTACAAAAGCAGAGCTTTCAGTATAGACTTTTCTCATTAATAGTATTGACTCTATTATAAACTACACACATACATCTAAATCCAAAACTGCTGATCACCAAACACTTAGATTAATGTGGGAACTAAAGAGCCAGCCATCAGCATCACACACTTCCATGCTTTTGGTTTACACAGCTCCTCATGGGGGTAAGTTTTGCCAAAACCTAAGAGAAACAAAGTCATCTCAACCTGCTGTACTTCACCACAATGTTTAACAATTGTAAACGCAGGAATATTCCACCTTAAAAAAGTGACAGACAAACAGAACTGGGTTACGTCCTGTCAGGCTGACTTAAAAGAGTTTCAAATGCTACATCATTTCCCAAAGTCATTCTGTGAAGCTCAACTCTCTCTCCCATATTAAACCAATTTTCACAACGCTGGAAAGATCTGCTAGAAACAGTCTCTTCCATATCTTCATGACAACTTCACAGTTCTACTATTTAAGCTGCTCTCACCCCAATTGAAACAGCTTTTATTTCTGTGACAATTGGAAAAACACAGCATTTTTTTCACGATCTATTCTCAAGTCAGTGAGACGTGTTTACCAAGTTTCTTCTCTTGATAATTTTTTATCAGTAGAAACCTCAGAGGGAAATCAAACCCCTTCCCCCCCCTTCCCATTCCTGCATGCTTAAAAATAATAATAGGATATAATAATAGTAATTAAAACAGCCAATGTGTTAAATCAGCATACCTACACATCTATTACAACCAATAGGGAGCAGAACAGGAACAAGCACAAATCAGCTTAAAAAAACCTTCTTTGTAGTATGTCTGCACAGCCATTCGTTCAGTACTTCTGATTTAACAAATACAGAGTTTGGGGTTTTTTTAACCCAGACTCTATAGTTTATACATTATAAAACCATGTTTACATTTTATCCATACTGTAGATATTAAAAGCAGAAGGTTGGGATGCTGCTGTTAAGAAATGGTGAAAAGTCATAAATTAGTACAGAAAACATGAATTATATCAAGAGATCCAAAGCATTCTTCCATTAAGTTATCCATTTATACAGTTTGGCACCAGTATAAATAATAAGAGGGTTTTTTATATTTATCACTATTTTAAAATGGTAAAGACTGAAAAACTTCATGGAACTGTATGAATATGGAAATGCTACTTGAGAGTCCGCATATGATGTGTATTTTATAGAATGGAATTCACTGTACATTCACTTAACAACTTTTCACAAATTGAGCTGAAGGTATACATTCATTTAGTAAAAAAAAGCCAACAACAAAGTTACAAACCACAATAACACTAAGGTAATGTAAAAACTTAGTATTTTAGCCACTGAATGGAGAAATCATACCTATGGAAGTTGAGAACAGCTAGTGAAAGTTCTTTTGTGGGTTTCTTTTTAAAGCAGCATGTTATTTTCATATTGCCAGCATTACAGGCAATATACCCTTCATACTTTAACCCACAATCAGTTGGGTCTGCAACAGAAAAGGTATAGCACATTGTTTCAGGGAATAAGGCCATCACCAGAACAGGGAACAGAGAAAGCCATCTACCACACTTGTTTCAATAGAGAGAGTTAACACAGATGGATTAACAAGTTTTAAAGCTTTCTTTTTAATTTATTATTAAATAAAAACTACAGACATTCATCATGTTCCTCCAATACCTCCCCATCTCCGAAATCTTTCAAGGCTTCACAAAAGAGTTCTGAACATATTATTTAAAACATTTATGAAAAATGTACTTTGTCTCACTGCTTCAGATCTATCTGGAATTTTACTGACATAAAAGACCAACGGTAGTTTTAAGTCACCTTTTTCTGGTACAGTAACACATATTCAGACTTGCTTAGTACCAATTTACTCCTCCTCTAGCAGTTGAGACTAGCCACACCGGGGCAATCTGGCTGAGTTTTCAAAAACAAGAGGTCAGTATAAAAACAAGTAGTAGTCAGACATCCTGCCTCTGTCTACTGAATGAGCCCTCTGCATCAAAAGATAGCATAAGAGAAGTGTAATCAATATTTTTAGGCCTTGAATTATTGTCCCAAAAGCTACTAAATAGGAAATATATCTCCACAAACTCACCATATAAGTAACCACGTAAAACACAAATACTTGTCCAAATTATACAGTTGCTATTATTATAGTTGATCAACTGCCATAAGATGCACTAAAATTTTCCTTTAGGTAATGCCCTATACAATAAAAAACATTTAGGAGGAATGTGCATTATGCATTTATTTCACAATAGCTGAGGGATTCATTCCTGGCTCTGTCTTGCTGGGTGACAAGTATTCTCAGCTTGCTTTCAGGAAGAGGAGCGTAATCAAGGCCGTTGGTACATTCACACCTTGCAACATTTTCTGTACTTTATTATCCATGAGTAAGGCACATTATTTGTAATGTGGCTATTTCCATAAGCTTGCTCATTGTATCTTAACGTTTAACAAAGCATGAATCATACCGTCTTTGGTTTTTTTCTTTGCTTCATAGAAAACATATCCCTCCCTCGAACAACCAAAACATAAGAACTTTGGCAATGCTCCAGAGCACAAAGCTAGTTTAAATCCCAGTCAGTGACCACCAACATGAAAAGAATTATATATTTAGAGCTTTTGCATTTTGTCCTTCACACAACTGTATTCAAATGGTGCTCTGCTTTGCAAGTTATACATTTATGGGTTTGACAAGAAAAAAAAAAATACACATTTAGTAACAATAGTAAATTCAAATCTTTCCAAAAGAATGTAACATAATTTAAATACGAGAGGAAAATTAAAATTCTGACATCTCAGTGGGTTACCTAAGAGAAACCACAAGAACGTGAGAAAGCAAATTACTAAGTAAAGGTTGATCAGACATGGATACCTGCAAAACAATGTAACCTGTCTGAAGGAGAGTAAGCAGCAGTGCTTCAAAATCATCTTCAGGTAGTGTAAGAGTTTCGAGGATGCTCTCAACTTTATGCAGTAGTTGAAGACATTTTAAAATTTCATAATTAATTACACTTAGACTTGTTCCAAGTGTGAGCAAAATGGAAAACCAACACACCTAAAATCACTGCAGGAATATTTTTACAGTAATCCTTGTATTACATACTCCAGTGTCAGACATCAGGTCAACTCCATCCACGACTGTTTTTTCTTTCTGCAAAATATATCTGCTTGCAGCTGGATATGCAGATTTTCACCAATACAAATGGTTAGACTGTTACAGGATCAATTTGCACCACACACAACCAAGCCAACAACGAGCCCTTTTTGACGTTCTGCGAATAAGTCAGCCTCTTTAATTATGTTACCAACCATATAATAACCTATGAGTATTTCTCATTCTCTCAGTAGTTTATGTTCCCAAAAACTCACATCTCAGAACTGTACTGTTCCATTATTTTAATTGATTAAATATAGATTAGCAGTGTTAGTGTAAGCAAAAAAGATTTAATGGCATCAATATCATTCAAATTAAATCAAGAAAGAAAATGTTGCAATGTATGTCAGCCAAACGGTCACAACTGATATGTTATATAAATACAGACATGAGGTAGCTGGCAGCTCTAAATCCACCAATCCTGGAAATGCCCAATTTGTCTAAAAAGCATAAACAAATATTAAATAAACCTTTCAAAAAAAAAAAAAGGACCACCTAGTTTATTGCTTTTAAAGGTTCACTGTTTACATCAGAAGTAGGCAAAGGCTTATCAAAGAAAGTTAGCTGGCTGTTGATGGCTTTTGATTATATCAATTTTTTCAAAAGAACCACGAAATAAAACTCTGGATGCAAACTGATGACTCACTCCCAATGATACATATTCTCATCAAAATGAACAAAGGCTTGCATTCTCCAAGTTGGGGGGACAGAGAAAGAAGGCATAATATCCAAAAGAACAGCATTAACTACTTGCTTATGAGAAATCAGTAACAGAACTAAAACCAGTGTTCCCACCAGACAGAATACATTGAAAACAACTGCAGGAGAGGCAGAAAGCATTCTAGCTGTGAAAACAGTGGCATCACGGCATATGAATCATGGAATGCACATGAAAATATGATGATCTGTACCACAGGTGTAGGTTTTTTTAGTAAAGCTTCCTGAAGTTTCTTTCTTGTGTGTTTCAGAAAAGGCAAAAGTGGAACAGACAAGAAGAAAAGGCAAGAAACATAAAAGAGGAAAAGATGCAAGAAAGCAAGACAAAGGACCTAGAACAGACTTCAGCAATGTGGTCTGAAAACTGCTTAGAGGTTAAGGAAGCAGAGTGAAAGTTATGCTCATTTCTCAAAAGAATATGGAGGGGAACTAAAGGGGACGTGCGTAGGCAAGGGGTTTTTCCTTGTTTTTATTTTTAGTTTGGTTTGGGGGTTTTTTTGAAATAACATATATACACACACACACACAGAGTGCAAGTTTGTCTAAAGAAGTGATACTACAGATGACAGAACTCACTCCCCTGCAACAAATGGAATTTCTTGACCTCTCAAGCAAACTAAACATACAAAAGTGATAAGGACAAAAGGTGCATGTAACACCAGCAGCAATATTATGTTTGGCTTTCCACTACTTCTGCAAGTTACTGTACATATATTACATCACTATTATAGAAATGGCACAGCCTCAGACACTTTCCACATTTTATTTACATTTTAAGACTAACTTTAATCTCAATCACATATCCATACATTTCCTTTGTTTCACTAAAACTTAAATGCATGGTTTATTAGAACAAAGACTGTAAACAAATATTTGTCATGTCCGATACATGTAACACAGGAGCTGCTTAACAGAAATTAATCCCCCCACTTTATAAATACAGGTATCAAAACAATCCTGAACATACTTTGTGACACTACTAGTAGTCGGCACCCACACCCTTGCAAAATTAAAACAAGATGAGCAACGGTATTCACTGTACCTGCTACCTTAAAACAAATTTAATTGCAGCTCTTTTACTAAGCAAGATGGATAAAGCATGCCATTTATATTTTGCCTTCTCCAGAGATTATTTTCAGTAACATATATTATTCCACAGCAATCTGACACTTTCTGTCATGCTTTCATCTTGTAAAACCTGAATTCCAATTTTAGGCTATTTCAGGCTTATGCTTAAATGACAGTGCCTCGATAAGAGAAAAAAAATAATTGTGCTGCCTTTTTCTCCCATAGTGCCTGAAAACATATTGGGCATACATATATTATATATTCTTACAAATGTCCAGGTCATGTATACCAGCTGAAATTCATTAATGTGTGGGTGTTTGCATTGTGAGATTTAATCAAGACATTAACATGAGTAGAAGGTTGTTGTTTTAAGACAGAAGTTTGAGAATCAGCTAAAATTAATTATTGTAAGTTTGTCCCTCTGGAGGTTGTGGAAGCTTCATATTTTCTTTGGACATCATTAGACGTCTTAGCTCTTGAAGTACAACTTTAATGCTATATGAATTTTGCCATTTTGCTAACACTGGTATGCTCCGTGCATCCACCTGGGAAAAGAAGAAAGAAATCTAAGTTATGATGGAACATAAAATCTCTACATAAATAACTGTTGTTGACCTAATTGCTCTAAGAAACGTTCTAAGCATTCCCTGACACTTTCTCTGTGGCATAAAGTCCCTGTGTTCATACAATATTTTAAGGAAAACAATCACGTACTTACACACAAATACAGATTCTGTAATGAAATCCATGCAGGTGGACCCTTCCATCTGTGCTGCTACTAATATTAGTGAGAAGGAAAGTAGGGAGGGAGGAGGGCATCAGCAACCGGTTCACTGCAAAACTGGAGTTGCTATTTAGTATAAGTTATAGGGTTTTTTTTCAAATTACCCCCAAAAAAAGAAACAAGTAATCACCTTCACTATGCTAATACAAGCACCTGGGTATTCCTCAGTTCTTTAAAAGAACCTGCCACGCAAGAGTCCGTAGAATACTTTTGTAAAGGTACGTTTCCCTTGTTTTTTCCTCGCTACAAGTATTGTTAGTGATTTATTTCACATCGCTATTACATGGTGCTTCTGACACATCTAGAGTCACTACACATACTAAGAAATGTCTTGAAATACTGAAATAACTGATCCATAATGTTTGGACATTTCTTAGTTCTTTGCATCCTTCTTACAGTAAGTCATCTTACGGAGCCGTGAAGATTACTGTACATCACTTACCAATTTGAATATGAACTGAAAGGAAAGGACATGGGACTTCTCCTATGCGTTTATAAAACCTGTGGGACAATTTACACAATTATATTATAACAGGGAGGTTTCCATAGGAAAGTCAGCAATTGAAAGTCATCCTGGGAATTGTTTTGGCAGCAGGTTAAGTCCCAGCCTCTGCACAGAGGAACTTAACAACACAGAGGGGTCTACAGTCGTGCAATTGCAAAGCAGGCCCATGGGCAGGAATAGGGCTACTGAATTCCACTGGCAGAGTAGCATGGGCAGCCCACATGGCTATAAAAGTAAGGGAAACCACTATTTTGTGATTTAGACAGCATAAAACATCAAGAAGTTTCTTATTCCATCTTAAGTGCAAGCTGAAAGAAAAAACACTTGTAATCAGAAATAAGAACGTTAATACAGATGTCTTATTTCTAGATTATTCGAAGTGAGGCTATTTTCAGAACACCGGATGAGACTAAACCTTTTTGTAGGACGAAGCTGGGTCCAAGGTTTA